GCAACAACTTCTTTGATCAGCTATGACAGTGGATTCCGTTCATCGAAGGTGTATCCATCCTATGTCGCGTAAGGCATGAAGCTAAAGCTATTTTAAGACCGGAATTTCACTTGGTGAAAGCTTGTTTTCATCCATTTAGCTCTGTTTCAACATGCCGCTCGCTTGTCACTCAGCACTAATATATTTCTGCTTTGTCCGGAGGGAAGACGAAGTTCCACTTGTTTTTCACCTGAGGGTGAATATCACCAATGACATGAACAGGGCTAGCGAATATTTTGCACACGATACTTTCAGCGCAGAGCAGTCTCGACCACTGTTATCATCAGAACCAAACGCTCCGGTCGCTGCAAACCTACGGATTGCAAGACAGAGGGCGAAGAACTTCTCCCTTCTAGCACTGAAAATGCCTGTTCAAAAAACTGATTTGTAAGCAAATATCTCCTCGCGGCTAACGTGACTTTTATTCGAACGTAGGCCACACGTGGCACGCAATTTTTCGCGCTTAACATGTGTTTGACAACATCACAGCTACAGTTTCCCATGCAAACTTTCCTAAACGGCACAATCATCGAAGGTATTCCTTCTCAGAACCAAGTTGCTGATTCATTTCTGGGTCATGGAATGCTGTCATTCAATCCATTCGAAGAAAACATGCTACCGTGCAATGTTTAAAGGAAACAAGTGACGTTATGTGACTACCGGACGGCTTGTTCCTTTTAGAGCATAAGACATTTTAGCGCATAGCCTACACAATAGTTGAACATGGTGGTGTGGTCTGTTAACTCATGACCCTCAGCATCTCCATAGATTACTATTATTAGCTGAAAGTTCACTAAATTAGTGTACAGTTATATCATACCAATTAACGCCACTCATCATAAACAAGTTTTATTTGCAATGCCGCACAAAATTATGAAGAAAATTTGTCTTCAAACCTGTCACATGCTGCTTTTGGATAGCTGAGCCAAATGTAGATGTATTTCCACCGACAAAATGTTCCATCTGCATCCCATAGCACATCGTAGTGCCTTTCTTCAATGCAGAAC